GTATTATTAGAGTTACTCTGCCCCACACTTAAGTAAGGGCATTTCTGTCTTTGTAAACACTATTAGAATCTAATATAGATTAAGGGGGTCGACTGGATGGGTTAACCATCAGATTTTCGACTGACCCTTCTTCTTCTTCTTCTTCTTCTTCTTCTTCTTCTCTTCCTATTCGGACTACTGTAGCAGCAGTCGAAACAATAATTTCCTCTCCAACCTTTCAATGACTGGATCCCAAATCAAGGAAAACCAGTTTGCCCCCAAAGGCAAGCCCAAATATTTCAAAGGGAGAAATTCAGTCTTACAAGCCAAAACCTCAGCACACTCCTCTAAGTTGCATACTTGCCCCACTGGAATGATTTGGCTTTTGTTCATGTTAACTTTAAGCCCAGAAACCACCTCCAACTAGGTTAAGATTCCAAGAATAAGATCCAACTGAGTAGGAGAAGTGTCCATAAAATACAAAGTATCATCTGCAAACTGGAGAATATTGACATTTTCCCCCTTCGGAGAGATAGCAAAACCTTCCCAACTGCCAGCATCAGCTGCCTTCTTACAAAACAGGGTAAGGATTTCCATAACACAAATGAAGAGCAAAGGGGAAAGGGGATCACCCTGCCTCAGCCCCCTTGAACTCTCAAAAAATCCCACTGACTGACCATTAATCAAAACTGAGAATTTAGGAGAAGTTGTACAAACTTGTATCCAGTTTCTCCATTTCTGCCCAAAATTCATATGCTGCAACACCAAATCAATACATCTCCATTTAACATGATCATAGGCCTTCTCAATGTCCAGTTTACAGATTAAACCTGGAACACCCTCTCTTCTTCTTGAGTGAATTAGTTCATTTGCAATGAGGACCAAGTCAAGCATCTGCCTCCCCAGGACAAAGGCACTTTGATTGCATGAAATAATACTTCCTAACACCCCTTTCATTCTCTCAGCAAGGACTTTGGCCAGAATCTTATAAAAACTGTGTAGGAGACTAATTGGCCTAAAATCTTTGACATTAACAGCCCCTTCAATTTTTGGGAAGAGAGTGATAAAAGTAGTATTTAGGCTTCTTTGAAAAGAGGCATTAGCATGAAAAGCCTGAAAGACATTCACAAGATCTTGCTTCACAATATCCCAGCATTTAACATAGAAAAGGTTGGTAAGACCATCCGGCCCAGGCGATTTATCATCTGCCAACATGGTAATAGCAGCTTTAATTTCCTCCTCCGTGAAAGGCCTCTCAATGAATGATTTCTGATCTCCACTCAACTCCTTAAATGGAAGATTTCTGGGAAAAGGTCTGAAAGTCCAAGTTTCTGTGTATAGCTTTTTATAAAAATTAGTTGCCACCACCTTCATTTCAGCATCAAACTCCCTCACACTTCCTTCCCACTCCAGCTTACTGATAGAAGAGACTCTCATTCTGGCATTTGCCATTTTATGAAAAAAATGGGTGTTTTTGTCCCCCTCTTTCAGCCACATCACTTTATCCCTCTGCCTCCACTTAATTTCATCTTCCACTGCCAATTTGTTATACATTAGCTTTGCTTGGGATCTCTTAAGTCTGCTTTCCTCAGTAAGAGGGCCAACCTCTTCTGCTGAATCAATTTCCTCAATAATACTCAATAGAGCTCTCTTTTCTGTTTCTGTCTTCAAGTTATTTTCCTTCTTCCAGATTTTAATTTTTCTTTAATTGCACCAAGTTTTCTTGCCAAAATGAAAGAACAAGTACCTTCCACCTGCAACTCTCTCCACACAGCCGTCAACAAGTGAATGAAACTCACGTCTTCAAACCAGGATTTCTCCATCTTGAACGGGGCTTTGACTTTGTCTCGAAAGCTACAAACCAACTGAATTGGACAGTGATCAGAAACTGGTCTAGGGAGAGTAATCTGCCTAAAATCAGGAAATAGCTCCTCCCAGTTTGGAGAGACCAAGAACCTATCCAATCTCACTAAAGTAGGAGTTTCTTGGTTATTCGTCCAAGTAAAACGACTACCCTGAAGAGGGAGATCCATCAGCTCAAATCTGTTAATAAAATCGGCAAACTGAAGCATCTCTCTTGATCTCCTACCTCTGGTATTTTTTTCCTCAGCGGATAAAATAATGTTAAAATCACCTCCAATAACCCAAGGGAAAGACATATTACCCCTCACCTCGGTCAATTCCTCTCAAAACTCATCCCGGCAACTCCTATCTGTAGGGCCATAGACATTTGTAACCTGACAAACCTTATCATTAGGAAATTTCAGAACCAATGAAACTGAAAATTTTCCTACATGAGAGGAGATAAGACTGCAGACAGAAGGATCCCAAAGAGTCAACAAACCCCCTGCACTGCCCAAGCCATTTTTGCTTTCCATCTGACCTCACCCTCCCCCCAAATACTTCTAACAGTAGCAGCATCCATATACTCCAGTTTGGTTTCTTGAAGGAATAATATCTTCGAACCAGATTTCTTCAGAGACGCACACACCTCTACACGTCTTCTTCCCGAGCACAAACCCCTGACGTTCCACGATAATATTTTTAAGTCCATCTGAGTCACAAGAGCAGAACAGAAGCAGCATCCCCTCACTGCTAACAGCCTTATTGTTAAGACCCCAAGTCAACCTCATCATCTCCCTACTCCTCTTTGAATTAGCTCCCCCTTTCTTAGCCGCTAACTTCCCAATCTCCAAAAGAACTCTATGTTCAATCCCCTCCAGGAGCTTAATTGTTTCATCCTTCATCCCCTCCATTGAAACTCCAAGAAACTTGCCCAACCCCAGAAGTTTTGATGAGACCCAAGAAGAAGACGCAGAGATATTAGACTGCATACCTTCCTAGAGCAACAAGTTGGGAGTCTTTCCTTTGAAATTTTTCATCTGGTCTGGGCTTCCATTTGCCTTTCGAGTCTCACCTTCTCTTCCCCTCCCCACCTGAACACTCTTCTGGAGAGGATCCTCGCCCCTATCTTCAAACAGATCAATGGAATCCACCACCACAATAGGCTCAACTTCAACAATGTTCTCTTCCATCCTCGCCAATGCCAGGTCATGCACTTCCAGACCTGTGTCCTCCATCAACGGAGAAGATAGCGAGCTCAATGGGTTGAGAGGCTGACAAAAGACTTCTCCTATTGACAAGTAACAACATGGACCTGTGTCCTCCCACCTAATTGAACCATACTATAATTCAATCTCTGATATTACAAGTAACAACATGGACTAAACAATGGAGTAGGATCTCTTATTGACAATAAGCAACTTGGTCTTCAACCATGAGAACAGCATGAATCATCCCTGGACAGGGCGTATGCTGCAAACTAATAAAGAGTGATTGAGTTTGGTTGACATAACTAGGTAAAAAATGTTAAATTGATATGACATTTCATTTTATTCAAGTAACTGGGGATGGACCTTCAATACAAACAGAATTTCACTTATTATTTCAATGACTGAAAGTGACAATTACCAAAGAATTTGCAAACCTGGAATCTGAAGGTGACTCCAAACTCCAAAGTGGTGATAGGCTGGATAAGGGAGGGACTCTCTAGTCTTTGGCTGCACCACCATGCCATTAGAGAGTCAAAGTTTCTCACATCTAGGCTGAATACCTCATTCAATTGGGTTCACAGGCCCAAAATAAGTTGCTAATTCTGTCATAATCTTTTGCTCACCTACATGACATTCACCCTAGCTTTCTAGTCTATATAAGAGTCAATATGTTTAAATTGTACTTATTCTTTCCACTAGAGCTTCAGCTTTGCCTTATGAGGTTACAGTTATAAGCTTCAAGGGTTGTTGGAGTTGCTAAACCTGCACATTGATTTCTACCATCTGGCATATGGCTTTTTGGACCAGATTTGGCCCCTGCTAGCATGTAATAAGCTTGTACCCCTAGACATAACTGTGCCTGTGCAGACCAGACTTGGTGGTGGATGCTAGATAGCTATTTGATTGGGATAGCTATGAACTCAACCAGAATTTGTACAATTTGTTTTTAATGGAAAATGAACCCAAGGATGAAGATATGAGGAGCCAAACACAAAATTCAGTGCACATTGTAAGAATACAGGATGGTTCTTTCAGTTGGGACCTAGATGCAGTGCAGCTGCCCCAACACTGAGAGGTGCTTCTGAATAATTAGCCTATGCAGCTTTCCCAGCTTCTACATGTCCAAACACAACAGAAGTTTATTTATTCTGATTAATTAGCCTTACTTCCGGTTGCTTGCTTCTGATTAATCCTATAGGCACACTATCTCATCATGTGAGATATCAAGTTCTTATGGTTTTTGTATGTCTAATAATGCTGCAGGTGGTCTTTTGGTATGGTGAGAGACAGTTTGGAAGCTTGATTTTAAGTTTACAATGACATAGGATCTGTTATACCAAGTGAAGGGATGCAGTTGAATGAAGCCAAAGTTTTGGTGCTCAATAAGTTGTTAACTTGGAAAGGTTCAACTCTTGTGGCTTACTTTAAAGAAAAAGAGCAAATTGATGTGTATCACACACTGGTGCATTCTTTGTAAGGCTAATGGTGAGACATGCTATCATTTATTAATCTCCTACCCCTTTGTTCTATCTATTTGGGTTTGATTTCTCTCACTGTTTGGCTGTAGGTGGATTTCTCCGCCGGATATAGAAAGCTTGTTTGGTTCCTTTTTAGTCAGGTGGCCAAGGAAGAGGGGTCGGATTCTATGGAGATGCACTCGAGTGGCTATTTGCTAGACTATATGGGAAGAAAGGAATATGAGAATATTCTTGGAAAAAAGTGAGAAGCAACGAAGCTTTAATTGAAGTTATTACTAACAGAGTTGTGCAGTGGATGAATCCTCTGCAAATCTTTGAGGTTGTTTCTACAGATGCTTTACTTAGAAATTGAAAGTAAGTGGCTGACTCAGCCCCCTCTATGACTGAAGTCGGGCCTATTCGGTCTCTCCAGCTGCAGGTCTTACTAAGTTGAATTTTGACAGTAGTAGTGAAGGTAACCCAGGCCCGTCAGGTATTTATTGGAGGTGTTTTCAGAAATGAAGGAAAAGTTGTTGCACTATTCTCAGGTCCAATTGGTACAGGCAGATCTCTTAGGGATGAGATTATCGCTGTTGTAGAAGGAACACAAAGGGCAAAAGAACTCAATATCAGTACACTGATTGTTGAAAAAAGGAGGTTCAATTGGCTCACTCAGAATATGGAAGTGAGTTTTCAGTGGGTGAAGAAAAGTGCTAACTCCTTTGCTGATTGTACTTGATAAACAAAGGGGGTAACTTGTTCTGGGCTGTACTGTAAACTTGTGTATTTATTGGGGAGGACTAGGAGAGTTTATCCCTCCTTCCTCTCTTGTACCATCTAATTTGTTCTTAATGAAATTGTTTTGTTGTTGATCAAAAAAAAAAAAAAACGATACCAGAGTTCAGCTAAGAACAGAGAGTAATGATGAGGAATTGCAACTTATAGCATTTTGTCATTTTTATACATTTATTCTTAGACCTGAAGCAACTTATGTAGGGCTGTCAATGGGTCAGGTCTACCCGATAGAACCAAAGTGACCGAACCAATTATGTTGGTTCTGGTTCAGAGTTCTATCCCGTTGGGTCGGCTCTGGTTCTTTATTGTGTGTCCCGATTATTATCGGTTTGGGACCGGTCTTAGCTGTCCCGAACCGATTAAATATCATAACATCTATGATGTTAATGGTATTTTACGTAATAACAATTATAGTAGATGTCTAAAATTGTCCATCTAGTAGAAGTACTTTAATGAAATCTTATGCACCCCTAAACCCTTTCGTTTTTCACTCTTTCTATTATTGACTACTAGTTCTAAACCCTAACTATTCTCATCTCATCTGCCGCCCACTAAGGGAGACACCTACACCAAAACCAAAAACCAGTCAGAAAACTTTGAGATGTTGCAGTTGTAGGCGATAAGGCTCAAGACCAGATCTCCTTGTTGGGAAGTGTAGTGATGGCTATGCAGAGAATGCAAGAATAGAAAGAACAGCAGCAGCAAGTAACCACTAACCAGTGATTTTTCTTCTTGAACGGCAGCAGGAAATGACCATCTCATCTGAGCTATGGTTTTTTTCTTCTTGAATCCCCACTATATTTTGTTTTATATCGGTTGTTTTTTCTTCTTGAATGGCAGAAACATGTTGCAGTAGCAGGAAGCACTTTGAGCTGTGTTTTCTTTCTCTATGTGATTCTATTTTTATTTTTTGTTTCTTTTGGTACATGGGGATGCTTGATGGCCCAATAATAGAGGGTTATCATTGCCTCTTTGCCTTAGCTCCTATTAACAACTCTGCCAAGTATTTTCTACATTCGATTTGATTCCAGCAGCCATAAGGGCAGATTCAATTGCAGACTTGCAGCTTTACCTCTTAATCTTTGAAGGAAAACCCTCTGAATTGTTCTTATCGGGCCAGACCCAATTATCCTGATTAATAATCGGTTCAGTTCTAGGTCCCAAACTATTGTTCCGATAGGGCCTGGTTCAGGACCAGACAACCTAATTTCTTGTTGGTTCGGAACGGTTTCATCCTGTCCCGAACCATTGACAGCCCTAAACATCCTGATTGCAAGATATTAATTTTTAGTTTGATCTGAATTCAATTTGGTTTATTTTTAGCTTTCTTTAATTTTTCTTTATGATATTAATTAGGGTCTGTATGGTGGATACAGAGAGTCATGTCAATGAACAATTAATTATACCAGAGTTTTTCTTCATTTTTATATATTTTTTGTGGAGTTTCTAATGTACTGCTTTTTTTATATTTCCTGGATTTTTTATGTTAATTTCGAATGTTTCATTCAGTTTGGATAGTTTAGATTTGGTTTGTACTGGATTCAGATTGGATTGGGTCCGGTCCATTTGTAAATGGACACATGTTGGATTGGATTGGATAGGACCAAATCTGGTCCAATTGACAGCCCTAAATACAATCAGTCACCAAACACCAAAACAATAACAAACTTCACCAGAAGTACTGATCAAAAACTCCTTGATATTACCAAGAATAGATAGCACTAAAATAGAACGCAATACTTCTTAGAATGGTCTTCATTTGATTCTGGAAATTAATATATATACATGTGCATGTGACATACATGTATGTATAGATCAGTATTTTAAAAGGCGTGTGCCTCCAGGCAAGGCGCTCCCAAAACGCCCTGGGGCATACGCCAGAGGCATTGACACCTCTGAGGCATATGCCTCATGTGCTTTTTTCATGAGGCATGCTAGAGGCGTACGCCCCATGCACATCTTACTTATATAAAAAGACAGAAAAAAAAAAGAAAAAAGAAAAAAAAAAAGGAAAGGAAAGAAAAGAAAAGAAAAGGAAAAGGAAAAGAAAAGAAAGGGAAGGGAAAGAAAAAGAAAGAGAAGAAAAAAAAAGAGAAAAGGAAAGGGAAGAGAAGAAAAGATAAGGGGAAAGCAAGTGGTTTGACAAGACCCTCCCTTTCAACTAATGTTATGCATCTTTATTCTTCTTAATATAAAATATTTTTATTAAAAATAAAGAAAGAATGAGATCCCCCCTTCCTCTTCATCCTCCTCCCCTTCCTCCTCCTAACCCCCCTCCTCTTAAGGTTACGCCTCCTTGTGTTCAGGAGGCTTACGCCTCTTGTGTTCTGAACTACGCCTCACACCTCCGCATTTTTAAACATTGGTATAGATAGATAATGGATTGGACTTTACTGGCCTAGCAACACATTTTGTTCTCGCCAAATATTACCAATCCAAAAACTTCAGATCTGTTTTTTTCTGGAATTTCAGAAAACACATCTCTTTAGGCAATCATACTTGAGCAGAAAAAATTCAAAAAAAAATCTGTAAGAAGGCCCCTAATAATAAGGTAATTCAGATGTTGATAGTCTGATTAGTCAGTTTCCTTAATCCTGAAGGGATGAGAGATCCATCCTATGGACGCCCAAAGATTGCGGAATAAGGGGCGAATTTCAAAAATTTTATCTCTCCCTTCAACTGGGAATCGTATTCCCTATTTAGAAAATCATATTTTCAAGGATCAATCTTGAACCATA